GGGGGGGGCTGAGACACACTTAATATTATCAGCGTTCTGATGGTGTTTTAGCCAAAGGATTTTTATCAAAAACATTATTTACATGTATGATTAATACATCTATTACATATTTGTGAACATTAATTGAGCTTTATGGGCCCCCCAGGATCCACCAGCTCCATATTTTTTTTCAAGTTCAAAACTTAATTAACATAAAGAGATAATTTAAACCAACTGTCTGTTAGTAATTCATCTGTATAATATGTATCACTATGCATATTCAGATGTGCAATAAAACCATGAAGATCAGGAAAATATTTAGGAAAACAAAGTATTTTATTTTTTGTGGTTCAGTTTTTTAATTTTTTCTTGAAGAACACCACAAAATACTTAGTCTGCTAATGACAGCACCACAAAAGGGATTAATATTGGCTATTTTGTCACTGCTATCAAAATCCACCCCATCCTCCAACATAAACTGATCTGGTAGCATATCTAATAAAGTCTAACCAATATGTCAATGAATACCATGTCATGAAGGAGTGGTTAACAGCTAAAAAATGGTGTAAGCTTTTCAAAGTTCACTGTGATCTTTGACATATTTGTAGAACAGTCTTTCAGAAAGGGCAAATCCAAAACCCTTGAAATGCAGCAGGTCATAAGAGTGCGGAGAGCAACACCTCGTTGACTTACCCTTGCTTCACGCCTTTGTTCTTGCTCACATCGATGGTGGTGATGGAATGTTTGGCTCCAGATTGCACCTCCCAGTCCACCTTCCACTGGGCGTTCTTTGACTTGGTCTGCAGCAGGTTCACCCCTTTCTTTGCTTTGACCCTGCGAGGGAACAGCAGGGGAGAAAAGAAACGGCGCAAGTCAGTTTTATCGCAAGGTATGATTTATATCGGAGGGCCGCGGGTGAACCCCTTCTGTGTGTGCATCAGACCTCCACTTTGTGTTGCATCATAGCAAAAGCAATTCCACAGATGAATCAGTAGCAGAGATGAATGAAGACAGTGATACATGAGACCAATGGGCTGGGACTTCTGCAGGTCAGACTGTTCGTCAACACTACCTCCAGGAAACCCTTAAAAGGAAGCCACTGGGGTTTGTACATTATTAACTACCAACATCTGGAGGTTTGGCTCATGGGCAAAGAGGTTTAGTTTTGTTGCACCTGCATTGCAATGTCTTTTTAGGTTA